CCTCCGAGCTAGAGGCCCCTAAAGTTTGGGGAAAAAATTAAAAATTGGCTGTATTTCAGTAAAAAAAATGGCAGAAGGTTGAACTATACACCTATTACCCTCTCTTGAGAGATAAATAAATTTGCGTTGCGAGTGTTTGGTCAATTTCACACATTTTCGAATTTTAGCTCGGAGGGGGGTTCATTTGCAGACCCATGTTCATAAGAAAAAAAAGTCTTATTTTGACCTCTAGAATACGCTCCTAAAGTTTAGTGCATCATTTCAGATACACCCTGTATAGATGTATACCAAATTTTCACATATGTTAATATTTCCTTACAAATAAACCATAAGCATAAAGTAAGTCAGTCGTGTTAATGTAATAAAATTTTTTAAATTTATATTTGTATGTTAATGAGCTTAAATTTCATAAAAAGAACTAATTAGAAGTTAAAATTATTTATGTTGCAGCAGTTTTTCTATTCGTCACTTCATTACTTATTTATTAAAAAATATCTTATCTTAAAAATTAATTATGCGTAACAATTATGCATAATTTAGATGACTTGAAATTGAGAATTGGGTTTCATAATAGATTTAAGAGACCTTATTAAGATTTATAATAAACAAGTGAATTATTGCGGCAATGTGCAAAACATCAATGTCTTTTTTTCAAATTAAAGTTTGTCCTCTTGCTGCAAAATTGGAAATATTATTAATATTATTAATATAATAATAACTACACTTAAACAATTAATAATGATATAAATAAAACAAGTTTAAAAGCACATACTATTCACTATTATAAAGTTGAAAAAATAATATAAATATAAATCTAAAGCAGCTTCCTTTCCAAATTATAATAGCTTTAACGACAATATTTGACAAGAACAATGGGTAATGAAAAAATTGCTGAAAATGAATTTCTTTTATTTATCCATTTAAATCAAACTATTTAAAACTTTTAGTTTTTTTATTTAAACTTTTTATTTAAAGATTTCTTAAGGCTATTGCTAATGCTCGTTTTGCTATTTTATTACTATTAGACAAGAATTTTGAAATTATATTATCGCTTCGCGTCATAAAGTATGAAATACTCTAAGAATTTTTAAACATCTTCGATAGTCAATGAGACGTTGATAACAGATGACCGTTTGCTAAGAAAAAACAATTATTTTTAGCATTTCTTTTTCAACAAAATATTAAATTACATATATCGTAAACAAAATCGTGTTTATAATTCAAAACGAAAGCATTTCTGAAATCATGTTCATATAAATTTTTCTCATCCGTATAATGAATAGAATATATTTTTAAAGTTTGGCCATTTATTTCTCGAACATCTTATATTTATATCGATACTCATCTGTATGCTTATATTATACTAATTTCTAATGTGTCTCAAAAAATGTACCGATTTGAGGTAAACTGTGTGTATTATTTATTGTCTACATTTTACTTATTGGAATTGGAATGCATGGCCATTCATAAGGCCAGGATTATCCCATTGATTATTATTATGGTCTTGCTGTCTAAAAAATCTCTGAAAATTCCGTCTTGCTACGTGACGGCCATTTCTAGTGCTACAAAATCAAAAATAGTATAAGAATGTAAAAAAATGTTCCATTAATGACAATACTTATAAAAAAATGAACAAAATTCTTTTTATATTGCAGTTATATAAGTATATAAGTATTTATATAAGTATTTCTTCAGTTATAAAATTAGTAAAAGTAAGAATATTATATAAATACGATATAATTTTTTTTCATTTGTTTCATAATTTAGGTTATTTCCTAAGTAAAGTCTTAATTATTTATGAATTATTTATATATAAATTAATTATTTATATTAGTATGTTAAGTAATACATTAATTATATATTGGTATATTAAATATTGGTTTACCACAACGAAATGTAAGCAGTTATCAGGCAAAAAAATATCAGCCAAACACAAATAGTAGCAGATAATAACATTGCTATAATTATTATTTTTTCCTTCCAGAATGATAGTGATAGCGCAGCTGTTAGCATATTTTCCACAATATCTTTCAATTTAGTGTTATTTATATCAATTTTAAATATATCAGGAACTACAATTACTATCATATAAACAAAAAAATAATTCTTATTAATAATTCTATGCATAAATTGATAAATATTGTTATTAATTTATCAGTATTATTCATTTTTTCGCCTCAATATCTCTACAAAACTTTATTATAAGTTTAATAACATTATGTTAAAGAAAAATTTGTTATTGGTGCATCAATTTTTTTATGAAAATTAATTGTTAAATTAATTTATTTATTAAGAATAGAAATATATACATTTTTATAAACACATTAGTAAAATATAGGTTTATATCTAATAAAACTAAAACTAAAAATAATTATTATGTTTTTCGTAAAATCAGAAAATACTTCTTTTTGTACGTTCTTTAATATGTTATTATATAATTCTCTACACTTATTGTAACAAATATTAAAAGAAAAACAGAAATGTAAAAAAACAGACGTGCGCGCGTGCAAACAATCATCAATTTCCATTTCTTAAAACTCATATTGAAAATTTTAATATTAACTTAAATAAATCTAATATTTAATATATTATTATATAAATTATATATATCATATTTTACCTGCTACATAAACAAAACAACCCATAATTGCAATATCAGCAACAGTATCTAACCAACCAAACTTTTGCCTTACAAATTGCCTTAATGTAGTAAACCACATCATAAATACTTATTTAGGGATTTTCTACCTAAATTTCAATAAAATTCGAAAACGTAGTTCTTTTTATCCAACTTTTTCTATTTGACTTTTGTTATCAATATCGCGATGCTATATTAATCGCCTGCAAAAAAAAGCATTTATTTTATATTTATAACGAAATTTTGTTGTATTTGCCTGATAGCATAGATTTTAAGCAAAATAGAAACAATAAACTCCATAACAATAAATTGTCAGATGAAAAGAGACATTCATGATAGCATCAAAATATAATAAAAGTGATATGATATATAAAAATAGCAAAAAAAAAAACTGTGTTCGAGAACATTAAACTGAAAAAGACAATACAATCTCTTTTAATTAATAATGTGTACTATTTTGCCATTTGTGTAATAAATTTTTGATTGGAGCGTAGATAATTGCCATATTAAATGTAATAACATATTTATAATAT